GATGAAGAAAACTTACTGCTTAAAATTTATGTAGATCTGGCTGGCCCGAACAAACTTGACCAATCCAAAAAGCTGACGTCACGGCAAAGTCAACGGCGTTGTCCGATCAGAAATCGGACGGTTCACGCGCTCTCACGCGCGCGAGTAAGCTCCGACAGCTGCTCCCTTCCGGCGGCGCGTGGCGGCGCGTGCGGCGGCGGCGGGCGGCGATCTCGACGGCAATCTCTTCGTCTCTTCGTCCTGGTCGTCGTGGTATGGTCACTTGCTGGTTTTTGTCTCCGGTTTGGATGTATGATAGATCTGATAAGAATCCCGTATATACCTTTAGATCTTCTACTGTATTCTCAAACAGCTATCTAGATCTTGTATCAGTGGAGCACAAGAAATAGAACTACTCCTTGGAAGAGAGAGAGAGGGTTGGACGTGTTTCCCAAGGTTGTGGGATTGTTCTCTTCTTCCATGAGCCTAATGCTGTATATATAGAGCTACAGTAGGGACCCTAAGGAGAATAGGATAAGGGCTTCTAATATATTAATACTGTGGAGCAACCCCACAATTAATATATTAATAATATTAAAGTCCACCACAATAATATTATTGCACTCCCTTCACCTATCCCAAATTACATTTGAGACTCCTTATTATAATTATCCGATTTACCTCCTCATGTTTAAGATATAATGTCCACTAATTAATTCGATCACTAATAATCAAGAATTAATTAATATATTATATTACCGAAGCTAGCGCTCGCTCATAGCATTCATATTATGCCGGAATAAATCCACCTGCAGGGTTTAGCATAATATTCCTTCATGAACTCACTTCGGGGACATCATCATACTAACGCACATGGTGACCGTAAATGTAACACCCCGACTTTTTTATACTATCAGAATACGCGATTTTTCGCAATTTTCTGAATAAATAGATAAAATACTTATTTTGCAAAAACTGATTCGGGATGCTACCGTGAAAACGTGATTTTTCTGAAAACCGTTAGAATTTTAAACTGATACGTAAAAACGGTCATAACGTCTTATCCGACTAATGTCGCAGCAAAGTCTGATAATAAGTACTGAAAAGTTTTAGCGGAAACAAAGCGTGGCTAAACATAGATACAATAATCATAAATATCCTGAACAGCTCGCCCGCTCACTCCTCGTCTCCGACCCTGCGACCTGAAAAACATGAAATGCGTGGGGGCGTGAGCACTAAAACACTTGTGCTCCGCAGAAACTCATACTAATGTAAACATCGTAAATAATAACAATATCATGAACTAAGCATATACAACTGAATTGAAACTGAAACTGATATCTGAAACCGCTCTGATCTCGTGACATAAGTCACGTAACTGATAACTGAAATCTGTCGGCACAAACTAATACCGCAATCTCCCGGCACAAACTAATACCGGACCATGTGCACACTCTAGTGGTTAGATTAGGCCACTAGAACTCAGAATGGACCGACGACCGTTCCGAGCGGATACTGAATATACATACCTCGAACATGGTAGCGTAATTAT